TCACTTACCTGATGAGCCTGGGCTCTTGTAGGCAATGGGGCTAAATTCAAGACAACCACGATGAAGTTATTACAGAAATAACCTTTAAAAATGTAATTAGTATTCGCAATGCAGTAACAACATACAGATTGTCATGTCCAAGAAAAAATAAAGACAGAAAAGCTGAATATATTTTTATACTCAGCTGTAAAAAAAAAAAAACTGAAATGAACTCTGTAAGTAGGGAAAAGCAAACACCATCAAACAGTACTCTTCTCATACAAGTGCAGCATTGCACTGCTTGCAGGGAGAAATATAGCAATACATGATGGAAAACATGTCACCCTTTGGTCTAAGTAACAGCAAAGGCAAACAATTTGTGAACAGCAAAATTTTCAACAAGTTTAGAGTGTTGAATAAAATTTTAGTAGAAAAAGAGATCAAAGCTTGTATGACTGGTAAAAGCAATGAATGACATAAATGTATGCATTTATTAGATAGGTGTTAGAGACCAAACAAGGTGCTGGGAAGGCAGGAAAACAAACTCAGGTCAAACTCCCAAAACACTCACAGGCAGAGAGGCAGTTGAGAGGGTGACTGCCATGGTGTAGGAATTCACAGTAACTCCTGGAGACACAGAGGGGAGGCCTGGGAGGATTCACACAGGAGCCCACCCTGGTGCAGGGGGCACAGGACACAGAACCTCCACAGGTCACTGGGAGGCAGGGAGAGAAGCCTGCTGTGCAAGGGACCAGAGGGAGGTGGAAACAAACAATGGAGAGGATGGGGCTGGGGAAAAGCATGGGGCCACATAGTGTCCCATCCGGGGTGGGCCTGGCTGTGACCCTAGAGACTGGAGGGCCTCTCTGAGCCTCACCCTAAAAGGCTATCATGGGGAGCAGACTGGTGCCCACCTCTGGAAACAGAGCTGTGCCACCGATAACAAGACTAACAGGATAGAGCAAGGTAAGCCAGTGAAGGACTTCATTCACTCCTGAATTTTATGAAAAATAGTTTACTATTCCCAAATGATCCTGACCCAACTAAAACAAATTTGTGCAATGATGATTTTCTACAGAGGAAATTCTTTTAAAATAGAATGTGTCTTTCCGCATCTGGCTAGTCTCACATGAGGTTGATCCACCTGTGTCAGTGTAGGATTTCCTCTTCTGACGATCACTGGTATTGTTCCTAAGCACCATGTAGGCACCCATTCTACCCCTGAGGGACACTGGGGTCAGTTCTCAGTCCTGCTTTGATTAATGCTGCAATGGAGTGCAGCCAATTGGCCTATGCCCTGTCCGTTTCCTAGGTTGTGCTCTCCACAGTGGGAGTGACGTTCCCAGGCTAGGCAGCTACCGTTTGCCTTGTGTTGTTTTCCACAGAAGCTGCACTGTTGCACACCCCACCAATGTGTACCTCTGTGCCCTCCACACACCCCTGCCCGCACTTGTTATCTTTGTCATTTCTACAGTAGCCATTCCAACAACTGGGAGGAGAGAGCCAGCTACCCATCGGGAGACTGAAAATGTGGATTAAAACAGAGTAGAGCAGTGGTGACCAGCACTGGTGAGGGGATAGTGTTGAGAGGTGGTGGCCAAAGGGACAACAAAGTACAGCAGAGGGGAGGAAGTCAGGGACTGTGTTTTTTATTCTTGAAAAATCCTGAGAAAATGGGTCATAAATGCTATCAGCACAACCTTATGGTGTGGGTGATGCATATGTGAGCTCAATTTAGCTACAACACAACATGCACATGCTTCAGAATGGCATGCTTTATGTAATACACAAATACAGTGGTCAACTTAAATAAATAAGCGATATATAATATGTAATATTATATATTGGTAATATATAACATGTGTTTATCCACAATAAAATTCCATGGGCATTTTATGTTATTTCCTACTGAAAATATTTCAGAGTATGCTTCCCTTTCCTGCTAATGAGGGCCCATGTAAGGAACCCAACATCCACGCCTCTCCCCACAGTCCGAGAAGCCTATTTCCAGGCCCCAGTCAGCAGCTGCTCATGCACCCCTGTGTGTCTGTGTAAGATCCAACTGTTAATGTAGTGTAAGCCAACGAATACCAGCACAGAGAAACACACAGCTGCTGGACATAATCTCACCTTATCCAATGCTGTTGCTTCGGTGTACATTTTCCCCAAAGCCTCATGCTTTTTCAGAGGGAGCTGAATCTGGAATGTGTGATGCTGGGGTTAAGGAGAGGTGATTACTGAACCCCCACACCTGAGTGATTGGTCCAGCACCACCCTAATCCCAGGAGTCTGGAAGGATAAAAGGGGGAGAAAAATTCAGTTATGGTCTCTTATTGCTTTTGCTGTTATCCAATACCATGAACTGTCTGCCCCTCTGCTATTTTGCCTTGGAACCAGCCAATTATGGACTGAAACTTCCATGAACTATAACAAACCCTTTCTCCTTTAATTTTGTCTTGGCAAGGAAAGAAAAGTAAATAAGACATACAATAAATAGTTTCTGGAGCTTCTCCTAACCTGGAGAGTGTTTCTACTAAAAAATCCAGTGAACAGCTTTTCTCAAAAATGTTTCTTCTACTCAATTAAGAGTGAGATCAGAGAGAGCTTTTAGAATGTTTTCACTGGTTAAATTCCCGACGAGATCCCCTCGGCTGTGCGGAGCAAGTGCACGTGAACAGGAACGTCTCGCAGTGTCCTCTCTGACAACACAGCCTTGAGGCACTGTCCCTGAAGCTCTGCTCATTGCAGATTGGCCAGCCCTTCGGGAGGCAGTGAGGAGGACACAGGCCCTGGGCTCACAGAATGCTTGTTCGGTCCCTGCTGAAGCTCGGCTCTCTCTGTTTTACGGCTCAGGGTTTCTACTCCCCCTTTGTCTGCTCTGACTTTACTGTTGTGGATTCTTTACCCCACTGGTCAAGTACAAATTGTGAGAGTTGTGGCTACACTTGGTCTAGAGACAAGGAGAGGGAAGCTCACTAAAGCAGGCAGGCTCCTTGGGTGTTAAAGATCAGAAAGCCTTATGTGGGCCCTGGTGACACAGAAGCTCTCCTGCCACATTGATTCAGGTGTACTATTATGGGTTGTGCTTTCTTCTTAGTCTTTTGTTGCTTTCAAGGAAATTCATTTTGAGGGTGTGGAAGTCACAAGTGTCTGCATGCCTTCTGTTTCTGGACATGCTGTCAGCCCCCTGAGACCTCCAAGCCACTACGGAGAATGTGATTTCCTGTACTTTAGTGCAAGAAGATTGAGGATCAGGGTGCTGGTGACCCAGCCCTGCTTCCTCAGGGCCACTGTGTCTGGCTATCGAAACTGGACTAGGACAGTGCTCCTCTAGATGCAGACTCCGTGCCCTTTGCCCGCGCCCGTTGTCCACTGATATCCACGGTGCCCACAAGATCAAAACGCCTTTACAGATTAGGCTGTTGCTCCTCCTTTGGTAGAGTCGCTTGAGTTTGATACTACTGACTATTCTCTTTCAAGATGCTAACAAACATTTTATTCCGTCCTGTTCTCTAGTTTCACCCCTCGTTTAGCATGAAACTTAGTATTTTTTCCCAAGGTGTTGCTTTCTCTCTTTCTGAAACTTTGCTAATATTTGCCCCCATGTCTGGTGATATTTTCCTGCCTCTCCAGAATGCTGGAGGACTACGCATCGTTAGGTTTCTTCAAACAATAGCTCAGTAAGATCCAGGAATACGAAGCATTCACTTCGTGTGCTCACCCAGGGTGCTACTCCCTGAGTGTTTGGCTCAGAAAAGAGGCTAAGTTTCAGCTTCCTGAGTACAACCAATTGGACTTAGTGTGATAATGTGGCTTTTCAAAGAAATACAGAAATAAAGAAATACTGTACTGCTCATAGCACAATAAAAATGTTCAATTCCCATGATTTCTGTCGTCAAGGTGCCATGTTTCCTAAGTCTTGTCTTTGTTCTTGAAACCAGTTCAGCATATTTTTCATGTTTATGAGACAACACTGTTTTCAAGAATGGCTCATATATGAACATATTTCTCAAGTACGTACTTTTGTGTTTTATATGAAAAGGTTTTTGTAAAAATGAGATGAGAAAGATTGAAGCACAAGCAAAGGAGAGAGAGAGAGAAGAGTGAAGAAGCTGTCTCAGTCCACTTGGATTGAAAAAAGTTGGAGCAGATGGTGTGGTGAACAAAAACCCAATAGTATATGTTCAAAGAAAAATAACAAAAGCAGCAGAGCGCAAAGCAATGGATGGTTGGGGCCTTTATGCACTGGCAGAGAAAGGAAAGCAGCCCAGCAGTGGGGCAGAGGAGCACAGAAGAGTTGACCGAGGGTCACCTTAGGTGCAGAAAGGTCACTGCTGAGTCTACACACAAAGAAACAGAAAGCAGGGTCTAAAGAGGTACTGGGCACCTGTGTACACAGCAGCAGTGATCACGGTAGCAAACATGGAGACAAAGTGTGCATCAAGTGGGAGATGAACTTGTAAACATTATATATTTCTAATATATACTTCACTAAATAGGAATTTTATAAATATGATATAATGGTAATATCACAGAAACGTAAATGCTGCTTTTTTCTAATGTAATGTAGTAAAAATAACATTGAAAGACAATAGAAGAAGGATTTTCATGGTAGGGGAGGGCAAGGACATTTTTAACAGGAATTGACTGAGTTTGCAAGATAAAAAGATTCAAAAAACGGGGTGGTGGTGATGGTTCTTAACATTTTCAATAAACTAAATTCCATTGAGCTTCAAGCTTAAACATCCATGAGTTAGTACATTTCTCTTCAATCTATCTTATCACAAGAAAGATTTGGAAAAAAAAAAAAAAAGGAAGACAGTATTAGCCAAAATAAACACCAATCCCTGGGCAGGATGAAGTCTGGCAGAAAAGTCTTCACAAGATACGCACCTGAATAAGAATCTATTTTGTATCACAAATATACATTAATGGGAGGGGGGAGCAAAAAGAATGGAAAAGTCATATGTATCCTCAAAACTGGTCCCTTTCTTTCCAGGCATATATTAGAGACTGACACCATGGGAAGGGAAAACATGAGCTTTCCCAACACTTTTGTCCTGCTGGGCTTCTCAGAGTTTCCATGGCTGGAGAGGCCCCTCTTTGCAGTGGTCCTGATCTCCTACCTCCTCACCCTGATGGGGAACAGCTCCATCATCTTCCTCTCCCTGGTGGACCCCAGACTCCAGACACCCATGTACTTCTTCCTGGACAACCTCTCTCTGCTGGACCTCAGTCTCACCAGCACCATTGTGCCTCAGCTGCTGGCTCACTTGTGGGGACCAGACAAGACCATTACTTCCTCCAGATGCATCACACAGGTCTTTACTTTTTGCTGGATAATCTCCAGTGAATGTGCTGTGCTGGCCATGATGGCCATTGATCGCTATGTGGCCATCTGTCGGCCCCTCCAGTACACTCTCATCATGCGTGCCTCTGTGTGTGTGCAGATGGCAGCAGTATGCTGGTCCAGTGGGCTCCTGAACTCTCTGCTTCAAACAGCACTGACCCTCAAGCTTCCGCTCTGTGGACACCACACCCTGGATCACTTCTTCTGTGAGGTACCGGGGCTCATCAAGCTGGCCTGTGGGGACAGCACTGCTAATGAGCTGGCCATCAGTTTAATGACCATCCCATTTGGAATGACATCTTCCCTCCTGGTGGGCATCTCCTACACCTTCATTGCCAGGGCTATACTGAAGCTCCCTTCAACTGAAGGCAGGCACAAAGCACTCAGCACCTGCAGTTCCCACTTGGTGGTGGTCATCTTGTACTTTGGGCCAGGCTTATATTTTTACCTTCATCCTTCAACCAAGAGTTCTCAGGCCAAATTCATATCCTTCTTCTACTGTGTTATCACCCCACTGCTCAACCCACTCATCTACACCCTGAGAAACAAGGATGTGAAGATGGCATGGAAGAGGATCCTGCAAAGACAGGGTGGGGTGAAGTCTTTAAAAGCCTAATCTCTGCCTGTCTCCTGAGCAATCACAAACACACATCCATGCTTATTGATGAATCACATCTGTTTTGCCAAAAGAGTATCTGAATTCCAAGAAAGTGCTTTCAACTCTCTTGGTCCATCCCCTCAATGTTTTGAAAAACTCTTTGGGCTCAGAATGTCTATCACTGCTGTTCCCACAGTCAGCCTGCCCCTTCCTAAGGCCTTCATGTGTATCCGGTCTATAGACAGAGGAGCCAGCAGCATGGCTCTTATGTCTTTGAGCTGGTGAGAAACATCCTTTTTATTCTTTCTGGCTTCTTCCTTTGTTTCCTTTCTCCATTCCATCTTTCTCCATGTCATTTTTTCTTTCTGTCTGCCCTATTTTAACATAACTCTGCATGCATTTAATGTGTGTTGATCACTCCCATTCCCAATCTTCCCCCTTCTAGCTGCCCTAAGCACCTTTGCCATGAACATTTTCATTTATAACAAAATAATAGTTCATTGTGCACCACTTATTCTTGATCCACTGTTCCACTGATGGGCATCTAGGGAGATTCCATAACATAGCTACTATAAATAGTGTGATGATAAAAATTGATATGAAGGTATCTCTGTTGTATGCTGACTTTAGATTACTTTAGGCAATATAACCCACAATGATAAATGTGGATAATGAGGAAATTAAACTTTTACTTTTATTTTCATGTTTTTAAGGAAACTGCATTCCAATTGCACAGTGACTGTAATAATTTACATTTCCAACAATATTATATAAGGTTTGCATTTGACCTTCATCCTCACCAGCACTTATTACAATTTGTTTTTTTGATAATAGCCACTTTGTGTGGGAAGAAAAGGAATTTCACTGTAGTTTAGATTTGCACTTTATATGTGGCTCCTTACACTGAGCAGTTTTTCATATAATATTGGTTATCTGTGCTTATTCTTTTGAAAAATGTCTCTTCACATCTTTGGCCCATTTATTGTTTGAGATGTTTGTTCCTTTGTTGTACAATTTTTTGAGTCCATTACATATTCTGGACAGTAATCATCATTCAGATGGACAGTTGTCTAACATTCTCCTATGCTGCAGATTGATACTGCACTCTGCTTATTGTTTTCTTTGTTATGCAAAAGAATTTTAATTTCATGAAATATCATTTGTCTATTCTTCCTTGTAATTTCTGAGGTATTGCATATTATTCAGGAATTCAGTGTCTGTACCCATATCTTGAAGTGTTCCCACTGGGTTTTCCTCCATTGCTTTCAGTTTCAAGTCTTACAGTAAGGACTTTTGTCCACTTTTTGAGTTTATTACTTTCATGGGGTGAAATATAGGGATCCAGATTCAATCTTCTACAAGTTGTGTTATTTCTCAGTACCATTTGTTTATAGTCTCTTTTCTTCAATGTATATTTTAGCTACTTTTTGATGAACCAATGGTTGTACATGTTGGGCTAATTCCTAGTTCATCTATTTTTATACATTGGGTAATGCCACTCCATTTGAGGGAAGGAGATTTTTTTAAAAATGAGAATATGTTATGTACATGTCCCAACTCCCCAAAGGAGTATCATTATTATTACTGCAAACACGTACTAAGAATTACAATGCAAAAATAAGCCAAAAACTCTTCTCCATAGCATGTTTTGAAATCAATTCCAGCGTTGCTCCTCTTGCCCAGGGCTGCTTTGCTATTCTGGGCCTTCCGTACAGATTTTTTCTGATGAATTTTAACATGTGTTTCTCATTCTGTGAAGAATGTCACCAATAGCTACATGTTCGTATTTGATAGTGTGGCAGTTTTAATCAAGCCTTTAATCCTCATTTAGGATGTGAGTGGAAAGCCTGTTCAAGTTCCAAGGTCCTTAAGTTGAAAGCAGAGAAGAAAGATGTGTAGTGAAACAAAAGAAAAGGAGGCAGAGACAGAAGCAGAAGACAGGTGCAGAAGAGAAAACAGAGGGGCAGCCAGAGCCACTCAGGTGGGGAGGATCCCACAGTTAAGGTTGGCAAGGAGGGGCCCTGAGCAGTGATGGCTGACAATGAAGTAAATATTCAGGCAGCTGCTCATCCATGAGGCAGGTCTATGCTGATGGTCACTGTGGCCCCTCCTATTTCTGGGCAACTTTAAAAAGGAGGCATCCTTTGTTGTTGCCAATATGTTGCAACCCTCAGTAGTAGACAGTTCTTTTTCTCAATTCAGATTGAAATTAGCAATTGACAAAATGCAGCTCTGCTAGCAGTTTTGATTCCACCAGATGGTACAAGGTGAAGCTGGATGCCAACCCTTGTCACCCCACTGTTGCCACAGGTGTCAGACCAGCTTGCTCCAGATCTAGTGGGTCAACTGTTGGCTGCTAAGCTCTACTACTACTCTCTGAGACAATCACTCCATCCATAGCACTCAGCATAAAAATCATGAAGACACTTACAGGACATTTAGAGTGCATCTTATCTGAAAAATAAATCACAGGCAGGATTGCCAGACCCCCACAGCAAGTCTTCATTTTAACAGTGCCTCTGCTGCAACGCACAGGGCCAGTATACTGGACGGAGGCCTCAGAGACTAACCAGGGAAGTGTGAAAGGAGTGCAATTGGTCTACACACAGGTGTATGGTGGGTCCAGTGTGTGCAGGTTCCAGGATAGCAGTAGTTGTCATGCAGCAGTTTGGTGATGGGTGAGGTCACCTGTGCTATTGGACTGACAGCAGTCCCATTGCTGGTAAGGAGGTTAGAGCTGAAACCAGGGAAGCTTCATGGGTAAATGAGGTCCAGGGGTTGGAAATATTAACAGTGGGCCCGGATGACTCCCTCCCTGATCCTGGCCACATTAGGGTGCTCACGTCTTCAGAGAGGTGGCATTGCTTCTGAAGTGCAAGGATCAGGTCAGGGCACTGCGATTCACAACCAAGCTGCATGCTGCTCAGTCAGACTGTTGTCATGGATGTGGATGCTGAACAGTCAGGGAGCCACCAAAGCAAGCTGTCTGAGTCCACATAGGGAAGGGGAGAAGAAAAGCACAGGGAAGGGGCCAGATAGACACCAGCCAAGCCATGCACTCAGGAAGCATGGGAACATCAGGAAAGTCAGCTGATTGGCGGTTGTCTCGGGTGAGACTCCATGAAATATCCGAGCCACACCGTAACCCAGGTTGCAGAAAAGTCTGCTCAGGAGCAGTCAGACCTCTCAGTCCTGGGCTGGGGGAAGAGGAGAACTGAGAAACTTACTGCCCCTTTCTTGATGCTTTCAGATGTGGTTCATTCTCAGCACCTCACAAGATATGTCTTGTACTTTGTCACACAAAGGGCCACTGTCCAGAAATGGATTCCGTCAGTGCGATAATCTTGAGCATGCCAGCCTCTAGAACTTAGAGAAACACATGTTTGTGGTTATTGCCACCTAGGAATGTGGCATTTGCTATAGCAGCCACTGTGGCAGACCTCTCTGGCCAGGTTTAGCACAGGCTGCAGTGTGGATTAGACATTTCCACCACATAATTGGCTACAATATACTTGGAGCAATATCAAAGCCTACATGAGTAACAAGGATGGTAAATGGCCAGTGGGCTAGCATAGCTCCTCTGCCACAAGTTTTTATGGAGACTTAACTCTTGGCTTGTGAATTTGCAGGTCTGCTAAGTGAGATACCTGTGGCTGAGAACTCTGTGGCTCCAAACCACATTCCATTCCTAAAGCTGGCCCTTCCTTAATCATTTTAGAAATTTAATAGTTAACCACAACCTACCTTTGGTCTGCTCTTCTTTGACAAGAATGACTTATCCCCCTTTTACAAGCCTGCCTGAGTCACCTGATATCACTGAATGCCACATATATCCCCCTACTATTTTCTCTTGCTTGTATAATCAGTAAATACTGTCAGTTCTGGTTCCTTGAGGTGCTCCCCACATTCTTGGCTTGCTCTATCCCAGTTTCCTGTTTAGCAGTGAACCTTCATGCTTTCTTTTTGCCTTGTATCATAATGTTTTGATACAAGTGATCAGAACTTGCGGTCAGGAATCCCAAGAGTACACTGTGTAAGACACTTCATATACACTGCAGGTTCCTCTCCCCATATTTGAACCTGTAGCTAATGATATGGCAATGCAAAGGAGAAATCCACTTGTCTTTTTTGTGAACTGACACAGCACACGAACAGACAAGATGTGCCACATGACACAAGATAAGGAGGTCTTATCCGAGGCAAAATACAGAGCCTTTTAGTAAGACATGGACAGCACATGAGAAGATCCACTGCAAGGACAGGAAGAAGAGAGAGCAGAGGGATCCTCCATGGCAAACCACACAGGGCATTTTCCCCACTAATGTTCAGTATAGGTCTGGAAACATTAGTCACAGCAATTAGATAAGAGAAAGAAATTAAAACAATAAAGATGTGAAAGGAAGAATTGAAACTGCCATTATTTGCTAATGATATAATATTCTACATAAAAGACCCAAAGAACTCTGCCAAGAAACTTCTAGACATGATAGATTCAGTGGAGTAGCTGGATATAAGGTCAACACTCAAAAATCAGTAGCCTTCTTGTACACAAATAAGAGTCTCCCTGAGAATCAAACTACAGAAACAATCCCTTTCACAAGAGCACACAAAAAAATGAAGTATCTAGGAATCAATGTAATGGAGACAAAAGACTTCTACACTGAAAACTACAACACTCTAAAAAAAGAGATCAAAGAGGATATAAGAAAATGGAAAGATATCCCTTCCTCTTGGTAGGAAGAATCAATATAATGAAAATGGCCGTACTATCAAAACTGCTATACAGATTCAATGCAATCCCGAGTGAAATTCCAACAGTATATTTCACAGAATTAAAGAAAAAAATCCATAAATTCATCTGGAACAAAAAGAGACTGAGAATAGCAAAAGCCACCTTAGGCATCAGAGACATGACAGGATATATCACAACCCCCAACCTGAACTATACTACAAAGACACTGTGATTAAAAACAGCATGGTACAATAAAAAAAGACCCAAGGATCAGTGGAATAGATTG